ATTGTGGTGAAAACTATATTAAGGCACCTACGGAATAGTGCTGGTACTTATTCAGGCCTCTATATTCGCCAGGGTAGGTCACCAAAAATTCTTGGATGCCGAAACCATGAACATGGTATCTTCTGCCGTCAACATGGACGCTAACCCCTAAATCAGATCCCGAGTGGGCTCGCTGCGTTTGGATGCAGAAGCCGCATTGGGTTTCTGATTTATTTCAGGGTTTTGGTATGGTATGTTCAGGGTCTAGCAATTGGAGGGCACCGTCACGAGCACCAGCTCACTTTGCTCACCACGCACTCACAAAACGGCCAAATTTCAATACCTAGCAAAGCCTGCTAGAGATTTTTAAGCTCCCAAGCCCCTAAACCCTAAGCCCTAATGTAGTTTGAAGAATCCAGTGAAGCAGTGGGATCGATCGATCCTGATGCTCTAATTAATGCCTACCGATATTCTCTAGGCGAAGAAACGCCAAAGGCCTCCAGCCCCTTTTACACCTCATTTGGGTTTCGGGTTTAATTGGGTTTACCCACCTCCCTAAGCCAGAATCAACGATCCTAAACTCTTCACCCGGCACGAAGAATCGCAGACCCAGCAAACCTCAACCCTCAATCCTCACACCTTGCAACCTCCCTAAACGCTAAACCTAAACCCTAGACTCGACCAAACCCTCCCAAACCCTCAACGGACCAACTAACCTAACCCCTCCCAAACCCTCCCAAAGCCCTAACCGAGAGCCCGGCGGAGGTCTGAATCGTTGGGCTTGCAGTGATGCTAGGCCAATCACTGGGCCGCACTTGGATGACCTTTCAGAGGGTCTAGGTCTTAGGTGTGTGGGTGTGGGCTGCATGGAGATTGTGTGTGTACTCTCCGTCTTTCCGAATGGTTCTGACTTCACCCAATGCTATCTTGTCCATGCCACAAAGCCACTTTTCCATGTCATCGTCATCATCATCATCATCGTCATCGTCATCACCAGCAGCAGCAGCAGCAATCACTTCACCCTCGGCGGCAACTAGGGGCCAAGTTGCTGCAGCGTCGTGGCCGACATTCTGGTTGATGTTGTCGAAACGAACGCCGCCGTACATTGTGTTCGCTCGAAGATCCCTGGGACCCGCATGCACGGTGTCTTGTGGGGTTTGGGGTCTGCGGGGTTTTAAGGTTCAGGGTTGCTTGTGGTGATTAGGGCTTATCCCCAGACCTTCCAAAACCTCTTAACCAAGGAATATGGCCGTAAACCAATACTATCCCTAATATGATTTAAGGTATATTCCTTAACTACGGGATATTGG